AGACTGGAGTCTTCCGCATGCCTTTGGCTGTGGTACTCTGAAAATCCTCCCGCTGCCTATGCTTCAATGATTTTTGCAATGGTTTAGAGAGCATTCAGTTGCTATCGACTGGAAATGCATAATCAAAGAGCATGTGGTTAGTGAGTTAACTTTGCTGGTCTTTTGCTTTCCTATGATTGATGTACTGGTTTAGAGGGCATTTAATTGCTGTCGACTGGAAGTGCACAATCAATTATGGTATAAGCTAATCAGTTTTTGGTCTTGTTTGTTAAATAAGCATTTGCTGAGACACTCCACCCTCTTCTCAAAACGAATGTGTTGAGCCCAGAGCCAATATTCTTTAATTTTGGGTTAAATATTCTTTTAAGATAATCTTGTATTAGACTGCTATATTTTCTAATCATTTTCTTTCCTAACTCTGTTTTTCAGAAATGGAGTTTTTTCTAACCATGGAGCCAAGAACAAGAAGAACATCATAAATTCCAGGGAGCGTAGAAGAGTCCCAATCTGGTTTTACATGTAAGTCTTACAACAGTACTGTGTAACTAAATGTACTCAGATAAAAGTGATGTGCTGATATTGTTGTTATTTTGTTGTTGTTTTTTTGTTTCAGTGGAAGTTTAGTTAGCTATGACCATAGAGCTCCTATGTTTTCAAGACTTTATTGAATCTATACATCTTGCAATAGTTGAAAACTTTCTTCGTCATAAATCTTATTGTGGTCATAATATTATTATTTTCTTCTAATCAAGAAGGGGTATACCCCACCCACCTACCAACTCCCATACTCTGGAGTTGTTAACAGATACGGTAACAACTCTACTTATATGAATGGAATTACTGGTGAATCTGTGGTTTCACCTTTTTCCTGGGCATTGACAGGTAATTGTTCTTTTGCAGTTTTACAGGGGTGCAGTAATCACCCATGCCCCAACTCCCATTCTGTGGGATATCGAAAGAAAGGTGGTAAAATCTACTTATATGAATGGAATAACCAGTGCGTGGTTATAGTGGTTTCATCTTTTCTCCATGGCATTGACAGGTAAATGCACTTTTACAGTTGTGTCTGTGTTTGACTTTTCTTTTCTTATATATACTTTTTAACTACAATTTTGTTCTTATTCCCTCTAATGATTTATACTTACTTAAACTTACTTTTTATTGTCTTGTTTTTGCAGACATGGCGGTGAGAATGTGAAATAATCTCTGATTTTGTGCCAGTCTTTAGAGCCCCAGCATCACATTGCAGAACAGTCTCTTAACGGTATGTTATCTGGAGGGAGGTCCTTCTAGGTAATACTTTCAACATCTGTTTTAATTTGCACTATCCTTTTTTTTTGTTGTCTTGCAGCTCCCACCTTTGTTTTTCTCTCTTGAAAGGCATTGTTTTATTTACAAACTGATTTGGTTTTTGCTTTGGGAATTTCAAACAATATGAAAAGAATCGCTGCTACAGTTGAAGGCTGATAAAGGTTTTAGTATGTGTGCTTCAAAAATATAAGGTGAGCAAGATAATTTTAATCATTTGAATATTTTCTCTCTTGGCGAAGGTCTGTCTTGTATGACCTTGTCAATATTTGATCAACTATTACAATTGTTATAATTCTTTTTATTGAGACACTTGAGTATGTTGGCTTAAGCTATCATTAATTTTGACCTTGAACAACCATACAAAGTCTGGTTCAAACAACTGCACTTGATTTATTTATTTTTTCACCATTTGAATGTCATTGAAAATTGGGTTTATGACATTCCTATGTTTTGTATGAGGAAATCGAATTCTGAAGAGAAAGAGAGAGAAGAAATTGTAGAGTTTGTGCCTACTTCTCATTTCAGAAAACTGAAAAATACATTATTTTCTTAATTTAGATTTTGTTTTGCAGATATGCAGTTTTATCCACAAGGAACCAAGAGCAAGAGACAAACTTCATTTGACAAAGAAGGTTGAGGAATTTTGCAAGACTGCAGCATTCGATTTGTTCTCAGAAAGTGGTGACATTTAGTATGTTTTGTTTCAGTGAAGTCACTCTTTTAGATATTACCATGGAACTCCCTAAGGTTGCAAACTTTAATTATCAGAAATGTAGTTGTTTATTTTTCTTTTCTCAACATCTAGGGAGGTGCTCAGTTATCCCACCTACATGCTTGCATACTCTCAACTAATTAAGAAAGCATGCTACTGATATGAATGGAATAATTCATCCTGGCCCTCATGACTTCATTTCTATTCAAGATATTGGCAGGTAAATTTGCTTTTGCAGTTGTTTTATTAGCAAATCATAAAAAGTTAACGCCTGCAATATATCAAAATGTCTTTTCAGGTTTTCATTTTATTTTGTCATCTTTCAAATTATTTTGTGTTTGATTTCTGTTACGATTCTCAACTGATTCTTTTTTCTATTAATTTTAAATTTAATCCCCTTAATGATTTATGCATACTTACTCCAACTGTCATGTTATCTTGTTTTTCAGATTTATTTACTTATGGGGTGAGGATCTTTGATTACGTGTAGGAGAAAGGAGAAAGGATCAGCTACAAAGGGGCACCTACTAGGCAAGACTTTCAACATATCTCACCTCATTCTAGTTCATAGTTTGCTCTACTGGATCATTTTGTTTTACTGTCTGGTTTTGTCTCTTTACAGACATAATTGAATGATGACAAAATAATTTGGTTTTCCTCAACAAATTTAAAACAATCATGGGTATGAGTGTATTGGTTCTTTTATGGAGCTCTCTTTGAAGTGAGAATGTACTCTTCTTTGAGCTTTCAAGACTGTCAAAATTGAGATGAGACAATGGTTCGAAGTCTGCGTCTGCATATATAAATTATAATTAAATCAATTTGACTTGGCCAAGTATACCAAGGAACTTGTATCAGGTAAAATACATCAGTGTTTTTTTGTTAGCTTCTCTCTCTTTTAAAATTTGTTTAAACCAAAACTACTATTACAATTCTTATAAGGCAAAGTGTTACATCATTTTTGTAAACATGTGCGGGTTCTGACTAATATACTACATTCTATTTTCTCCACAGCTTTGCTCAGGTGAGCCAGACACTCAAGTTTTGACCTTGGATTAGGCGAATGACTTTTGGAAATTCCGAAGTAGATTGGTGTAGTTCATCGTACCATACTCCTATACTGGATGGAAATCACTTTTACTCTACAGCTGTTGCTTTCAGTATAGCAGATACATGCATTCTTCTTTTCAGTTGGGTAATAGTAAGGTAAGGTTATCATATGCCTCATGAAATTCTGTGTTTTTAGAGAAATTGCAGAGATATTTTATCTTTACAAGAGTAAATTTTAGTCTCTCAAGGCCCATTATCATTTTCCTGAACATGCGATGAATATCCAAATCTTGCGCTGTTTGTTACCTTTGGGCTTTGGTGCCCAATCAATATGTGATCTTCACAATTTAAATTTTATCAAATCATTTTTTTAAATCTAAATGTAGTATGTGTCAACAAAACATCCTCTTTTCAATGGCAAAGTGTTTGTGACACTGAACCAGTTTTGGCACAAAGAAATTAATGTGTTGGGATACCTCAAAACCTTCAAAATATGTGGTATAAAATATCTCATATTTAAATTTGAACCTGTTTAGTCCAGTGGTTTATTTTTGTGTTGCTTACAGAAATTGTTTTGTTTATCTTGATTTCTTTTGCAATTTCCGTTCACAGGCAGGTTGGTTTTCAAACAGAAATTACCTTGCCAGTTTGTGTGTGCATTCATTGAGGATTGTCATCAATTCATTATTGTGGTCGTGCCAAGCTTATCCTTTACCACGGCTGTCTCTGCTTTGTGTTTGAAAGTTTTATGAAGATGGATGAAACCCACCTTGGCTCCTGTGTTCCTCGGGTCCTTTGATGAATAGGTATTTATAAACCTGAATCTTTCCTGTAAGCTACCGGTTTAATTAAAACGTGACATTGTAAAACTTCTTCGCTATTTCTTGCCCACTTGTTTCAGGTCAATGTGAAATATTTGACTGCTTGTATAACATCATTTGACATTATGTGATCTGCAGTTTGATTTTGTCAGAAAATAAGTTTCATGTAGTTCTGAGCACTGTGAATGGGGTAAGTTGAACATGTTCAATTCAATGTAATGATGCCCATTTTTGCAAAGCTAACAGATTGTGACTTACTCTTCTTTTAAATAATAGCTTGCTGCAGTGTTGCTCTCTCTCTGCTCCATCCTGATTCTGTTAGTGAAGAGGTGTTCTTCTGATATAAATGGAATCATTCCTCGTCATCTTGATTTCATATTAATTCAGGAGACTGACTGGTAAATGTGCTTTTGTAATTGTTTTATGAGCTCAACATCAAACTAGTTAATTCATCCATTGCAAACTGTCTCATCAGGTTTTCAGTTTTCTTTGCATTGTTCAAATTATTAGGTCTGTGTTTGTATGACTCTCAACCGTTCATATTATCTTGTTTGTCTGACTTCATTCAGTGTGATAGGATAGTTAAATGATCTTCGATTATGTGCTGGTCAGAGGTTGTGGATCACATTTCATAAAAGTCTCTTACCTTTGTGGTACCTGATTGGAGAAAGTAGCACATAACAAGGTAATATTTTTAACTGATCTCTCCTTATTGAAAGGTTGCTTGCTGCTAGTGTAATGCATCATTTGGTTTTACAGCCTGGATTTGTCTCTCCACTCTTATGATACTTCTGGATTAAATGCCAAAGTGGTTCAAGAAAACCACTGGTTCCCGACTTCAGACTGACAATGAAGTTGAAATTGAGAGAACACGAATGGGCTGCATATACATTCATCATGAAATCAATATTTGCCTTTATAAAGCATGCGTAGGAAACATGAAATAAGTCTGCAATTGCGTCGACCACAGGTAATACGCCAGTTTGTTTGTTTTTTAGCTTATCTCTTATAACTTTTCCAAGTTCAGTTTCTAAATTAATATTTCAGTTCAGAGAATTTTCATCACAATATTTTAACAACATTTTTGTAGATATGAGTAGGTTCAGACTAAAGTAACATACATTCTATTTTCTGCCCGCAGCTTCTCTTGTGAGCTACACATTTAAGTTTTGACCTTGAAATGGACGAAAAATCTTCTGCATGGAATCGCTGGATGGAGAGAAGCAACATTGCAAGACGGAGGATACCACCACACTCAGCGAAATAACACCTAATTCATGTTTGTATTTCTCATCTTATTTGCTAAGTTATTTTGCAGAGTTAACAGCACTAATTATTCTTGTACTAAAGACATGTTTCTGGTCAAATCCAACATCACATATGTACATCGTAATGTCTGATCTCTTCGCCCGCTGTAAACATTCCAAATATGTTGCTTTCTTATTCTAAGCTTTATTTTCTCCCTCATAATTTGTTTTTAGTAATTAATTCTGATCATGTACTTTTATTCATAATTATATCACGCTTTCCTTTTCTCCCTATTCTATTTTCTAAGCTTCATCTCCTTATCCCTATAATTTTGTATGAGTAATTTACTCCAATAATGTACTTCTATTCATACAATGAACGCTCTTCTCCTTTGCTCGACAAATTTGTGTTGACATTACTGGTACTCTTTGTGTTTACAGGGCAAAATCTGTTTAACTTACAACATCCTTCATACATGGAAAAATGTTCAAAAGGGTCCGTCAACAAGCAGCTGTAGGAAGCAAGAAGTGTTTCTCATCACAAGTAAGTTCTGAGAGTGGTCAGGGCCCTTTAGGACGTGTGTTCTTGCTGCTCAGGGCGCTGGACGCACGGGTGTTTCGAAGTTCTGTCGTGTCGTGTCCTACCCCACCGAAGCTCGTGCGTCTCCGTCCCTGCTATTGCTTGACAATTTAGCATTACGGCAATGCTAAAAAGAAGAATGCAAGACAATGGAAATCTCTATGCTTAATGGGGACTTCCGTTTACTTGTTCCCCGCATTCTTCTTTTCAGCATTACCGTAATGCTTTATAAGACAGGCACCACGGCCCTGGATACCCCGGATGACGCTGGCCCTGGCCGTGTTACAAGTCAGATCCCGGAGCCTGGGCATGCCCGGACCAAGAGGCACTGCTGACGCGCGCTTCTGTGATCTAGTGGCGGCGCCCCCGGGCAGCAGGGTGCGTGCTCATGGTCAGCACGTAGGCGATGGACTTCAGGGGACGTTGAGGGCTCATGAGTATCTTGTAACATTTCACCGTAAATTGAAGTGGGGTGGGGGGGCTCGTCCTGGAGAGGGCGCAGAGGGCGGGGCTGGGCCGACGGCCGTGGCAGGAAGAGGTCGCCTAACACAAAGGTTGGCCTGTTTCTGACGCACAATTTCATTTCATTGTTTTTG